CCTCTCCCTGAATTCTTCTGTTCTTGTGCTTGACCTGTCTTTGGTCTGGAAGCAGCTCTACCAGAGTGTTTTTTTGACAGTTGTTGATGACCTTTGAATTTGTGGGAAGTGTTTTTTGTAGTGAGGTCACCTGTTTCTCCAGGAGTACATAGCTCACACCTCTCAATGAGAGATTGTATTCCTACTTCCCATCTGTGGGAGAGATGTACAGTGTGTATTTTTGGATTGTTTGTTTGTTTTTCTGTGGGTGATGTTGCTCTATCCCTGCTGTGAGAATGCTTAGTTTTCTTTTGAAGTTAATACTTTAGTGTTGGGAATGCCTCAGATGCCTGCTAATAAGATAGCAGCATGAAAATTGGGTCAGTTAATAGATGCACAGGGAAGAGGACTGTAGCTTACAGCCTGCAGCTGCTAAAAAATACCATGTTTTGTTTCACATATCCCCTTGTCTGTCGTAGACTGGAGGTGGATAAAAGGGAAGAGGCAGATGGATAATTACTTCAATGTTCTTAATGCCTTCATTGACAAAAAAGACAGCTACTACTCCATTCACCAGATAGGTAAGAGCTTGGGTGCTGGAAAGCATGGAGATATTCAGTCTGGGTTTCTTCTGAGTATGGAACATCACTCTGTTTTATTAGCTTACCAAAAAAAACCACCCAACAAGCAGGTCAGGTAGTATATAATACTACAGTGCTTATTTTCTGACATGATGTAATCATAAAGAATGGGTTATTATTATTATGTATTATGGATTATGATGAGTTTTCCTTCCTCCCCCTGTTAAGGTCATCAGGTTTGCATGATGTTTTAGGTTATACTCAGCATCACTTCCCATATTTTAGCCAGCTAAGGTGAGAGCAGCACGTGGTTGCTGTTCTTACTAGGACCTTGTAATTGGAGAATATTGCTGAGCTAAAAAATTCTCAGAAATAGCGAATGGACTAAAGAATCCTCTCACTTTGATAGAAACTTCCTAGCAAATAAAAGAGAAGCAGCCTGTTCCAGTTTTCCCTATGGAGTTTTAAGGCTTCAGTGAACAGGATTTCAGGTTACAGAGGTAGTCTGGTAATCAAACATTATTTTTTTTTTTTTGTGATGCAGCCCAAATGGGAGTTGGAGAAGGAAAATCCATAGGTCAGTGGTATGGACCAAACACAGTTGCACAAGTGCTCAAGTAAGTGGTTCTTTTTTCCTTTATATCTTTTGCCCCCTGCAGTGGGCTCCTTTGGTTTGTAGTAGCCCCTAGCTTAAGGCAGGAAAGCATTAATATTTGCTGCCATGGTGACAGGCAGAGGATCAGAGAAGTGCTGGAGCATGGACTGCCTGTAATAATTAGGACACACTGTACTTTGAGAAGCATTCTCCCTCCTGTCACCATTCTTCCCTCACTTTGCTTAGATGAGCTGGTAGCTCCCTGCAATAGGCTGGGATTGCCTAAAAGCAGCTTTCCCAGGTCAGACCATGTGATGAATTAGCCCAGAATCACCTGATAGGTGATCACAAGATATGTACAGAAAGTAACAGTGATTTTTTTTTTTTTCATTATTAAATTTTCATGCTGTCTCACTTTCTGGTAAGTGGCAATTAATGGGATTTGAGTTGGAGATTGTATCAGGACTCTTGTCTTTAGGAGTTGCTGAGGGAGAACTTCCCAGCTGTGGTCACATTTGCAGTCTTGTTTATTCTTCTAACCCTAAGAACTAGTGGCAATGAAGTCTACAGCTCTGATAAAAGCAGACTTTACAGCACAATTAATGAAAGCCAATCTCTCCAGTCTCTCTTTGTCTCATAGTTGTAAATAATCCTTGCTCACTTTTACTTTTTCTTTAAATTTTCTTCCAGAAAACTTGCAACTTTTGATACATGGAGTTCACTGGCAGTACACATAGCCATGGACAACACAGTAGTGATGGAGGAAATCAGTAAGTATCACATGGAGGTGGAATGTTGTATATCCACCAGCAGCAAGAAGACAGGAAAAAAATGGAGAGCACATAGTAGTACAACACAACAAGCATGAAGCAAACCAGGAAAAAAATGGAGAGCACATAGTACAACACAACAAGCATGAAGCAAATATTCTGTCTTAAAGCTGTGGCCAAGCATGCTAAAACCAGACAAGAATTGCTGGGATAGAGCAGGGAAGTCCCTTGTTCCACTTCTGCTTCATTTGGTAAAGCCTCTGACTTGGTGCTGTGGCTTCTGGGCCTGGTGAGGTGGTCTGCTGGACTTCAGACTATAGGTGGGGGCTGCTTGGAAGGTAGCAAGCAGTAAATGGCTGCTTCCTCTAGTATGATGGAGTAGGAGTGTCTCTGCCACTAGTCAGATGACTAGAAGTGAAGAGGAAGGTTAACAGAATTGGCATGGGCAGGGAGAAGAAGGGGATCCATCTCTGGAGTGGACTCTCATCTTTTAAGGAGTGCTCAGTGGTGGTTTTTTCTTCATCCTGACAATAGGATGGCTCTGGAGGCTGAGCAACTGTGCAGTATGTTCATCCCTGGCATCCTTGCTCAGGCTGCAGTGCCACAAGGTAGATTTAGTCTGTGCTGAGCTCCCTACTGCAGGCACTATTTTAACAGGATAAATCACTCTGAATCATGGCTTTTTTCTCAGGACCTCCAGTAACTGGAATATGTTTGTGCATGAGAGATGCACACAAACTTTCTCCCTCCTTGAGGGACAATATAGGGAGCAACTGCAAACTCTTCAGGGCAGGGTGTCTCATACTGAAGCTTTGCATCAAAGTCTGATTTTTCCTAACCTTGGGTGTAATATTGTCCTTGTTCAGCTAGGGTTGAAGCTCTTAGTAGTGACCCAACACCACCCTGAAGTGGCTGATCATGAGTGTGTTTGTTTACATTTGTTTTACCTGCTGGAGTGTCCATTCAGCCAGGGATAAATTAAATGAGCCTCAGGCATTTTTTTCTAATTGCCTTTGCTTTGGGATTAAAGTGCTGTGGGTTTCTTTTGGGGTTTGGGTTTTTCCTTCACACACCCAGCAAGGAATTAAATTGGCCAGTGAAGCAGGTCAGCTTGGAGATGTTTCTGTGCCATAATTTTCATAATCTGGTGGCATTCCAGCCTGGCTGTGTTTTTGCCAGCCTGTAAAATGAGGATGCACAGCACTTTGTCCTGGGTATGCCCCCAGGAGTTCTGCTGCCCCACACCTCACAGGCAAAGCTCAGGCTGAAATTGCAGTTTAATGATCATCCTGCTTTAGGTCTCTAAAGTAGCTTCTGAATGACCCCAAGTCAAATTTGTGAAGGCTTTAGTGCACTTCAGGAAAATTAGAAGTATTCTAGACAGACAGCATGTTTGTATCTTGTTACAGTGGTAATAATAGGTGGCTATTTCCTTTGTTAAGCCATAATAATGCTTTCCTCACTCAGTTCAGCTCTCTTCATCTCCTCCATGAACTCTGTGGGGTTAAACACTCCAGACTTTTCTCCTTCTGAATTCAGGATTCTTGTCTGACCTCCCAAACAACTTGTTCAACCACGTTGGCACAGCCTTGTGCTTAGCTGCTCACCAGATGGTGGCTGTGAGTACAGCACGCTCTGGCTTCACCTGGGTGTAAGCTTAGATGAAAGGCCAAGCCCTGCAGGGAGAACATACACCACAGCCTCCCAGCACTGGACTTCTTCAAGCTTCTCTTTTTATTCAGTGCTGTAGACTTAAACAGCAGTTGTTGATAGCTTGCCCAGGGCTAGGACAGGGGTGATTTCTGATTTCTGCTCCTGTTCCCTTCCTGCAGGGCGGCTGTGCCAGTGGAACCTCCCATGTGCTGGAGCTGCAGCATGCTCCTCTGTGGAGCCAGATGTGCTCTACAACGGGTACCCAGAGGAGGCAGGGGTTAGGGAGAGGCTCTCACTGTGGAAACCACTGGTGCTGCTGATACCCCTCCGCCTGGGGCTCACGGAGATCAATGAAGCCTATATTGAAACACTAAAGGTAGGGGACCCAGAGCTGAATTCCTGGGGTTCTGGTGCTTAAGGACCCTGTTGTGAATGAAGTCGTTTCTGGAATTTGATCTGGGGGGCAAAAAAATGCTTGGAAGTGATTGTCCTGCTTGCAAAATAAAAATGTGCTGGGAGACAGCTGTCATCACAGGTCAGGATGTGGGTTCTTGCAGGCTGTAGTCAGGAAAATGTGTGGGAGTTTGGGGACGTTGGGACTCTCTTGAATGATTTGGGGGTTTTTTTTGAGGATCTTGCTTCATAACTTCATCTCAGGCCCTCTTTGTGTTTAGATGGTACCAACTTGCTGAACCATTTGTTCAGCACAAGTGCACTGTGCTTGGGGGCAATCTGAGCATTAGTGACCATGGTGTTGCAGACTTCCTGAGGCTCTGATGCTCAGGCTTGCACTGTGCTTGAAGCTGGCAGACAGCTGCAGGTTGGAGTATCAGGAGGCTGCAGAATTTAGGGTGGGCACAGTACAGGCATGAGACAGGACACAGGTTGTCTTGCTGTCCTAATGCTAGGAAGTTCTGAGCTGCATGGGTTAAGAGAGATCCAAATTCAGGCAAGGTTACTCTCCCTTAACTCAGTAGATGGTGCCTCGATACTGCAGCTGGGTAAGGAGCTTAAAACTCTTCCCTGAATGATTTCTCTCCTGGGTTGGCACTACTGCAACCTGATGTCAGCTCCAGGGGATCTTGCCACTGACTGCAGCAGAGCCAGGGCTTGCCCAGACTGCATCCTGGAGTACTGCTGCTTTTCCCACTGGGTCCACCTGTGTGTTTGTCAGCAGCTAAAAGTGGGTTTGAGCTGCCTCTGTGTTCCTTGAAGGCACTGTGTTGCAGCCTGCAGCCCTGCTGATGGTGCTTCTCTCCAGAAATGGCTGCCAGAGTTGCCAATTTGCAGTGTCCCCATCTTTCTTTCCCACTGCATTTTTGGATGTTTGCCTTTGTTGCCACTTGCTGTCTCACTGTCTGTCAGCTGTGTGTTTTCTGTATTGCTTTTCCAGCACTGCTTCATGATGCCCCAGTCTCTGGGAGTGATCGGAGGGAAACCAAACAGTGCTCACTACTTCATTGGCTATGTGGGTGAGTGACTGACCAGAAAACTGCAAAGACTTTCCCCCCCCCAGCTCAGAAATGCTCGTGTGGCAGCACAGCTCTCCTGCTTTGTCTGTGGTGCATGCTGCAGGGTTGTTCTTTCCTGCTTGGAAGCATGGGAGGCTGCTGTGGACTGAAGCTCTTTGTGAGGACCTGAGTGATGTGGCTTTCAGCAGTGGCTGTAGTCTGGGCCTTGAACTTCCAGTGCATAATGCTCAGTCCTGTCTGTAAAGAGGTGTGCTTAGACTCCTTCCTGCATTCAGGGCTGGCCTCCCTTTAGGGATGTGGCTGGATTTAACTCTCCTTTAGTT